GGAGTTTCGTTGGGGGGTTTTTGAGTTTTGTTTCCTCATACGACGCTAGCAGGAAATTTATATATATAGATGATCTTTCTAGGTGTCTCCAGATCTTTCAGCGCAACTATATGGGCAACTTCCAGCAGAAGTTGACCATAGTCATAATGGAGGACCTAGAGTTTCCTAGAGAGGTGTTCGCCTAGGTTAAAAAGTAGTATTTTTACTTGCTGTTTTTACACTTTGGGGGGGACAGGGCCTTGCACCACTAACTTCAGTGAATAAGGATGGCCAACTATATACATATACAATCAGTTTGGCATTTGACCTCCAAGCTCCGTTTACTTACATCATCCACCTGTTGCTCCAGCTTCACCTTGGCCTTGGTAAGGGTGTTGACCTTGTCTTCCTCGGCCTGGAGGTCATCCAGGGCTTGCTGGTGTGCTTCCTGGAGAGCCTTCTTTTCCTTGGTTAGCTTGACAATGATTTCATCCAGGCCAGCCATCTCTTCTGTGAGGTTCTTAACCTATGGCCATTTTGCAATATTTTAGAACATTATCTCACTGGTGTAAACATGATTTAGGAAGTGAGTATTCAGTCATCCTAGTGAGAAACAACACTCAAGGATTCCACATCTTTGGTTAGTTCTGTTGGAGCATGTAAGAAATCAGTTAGTGTGTGTGTGTGTGTGTCAACTGTAAAATAAGATATATGAAGCTGATTGGTCAGGCTACACCCAGGGAGATAGCTGAGCCGGGGACTTTTGAATACTGCTACATTTTTCAGGCTTGAGCTGTGCAGGTACTTGCAAAAAAGCAGAGAGAGACACAGAATTCAAAGTGTGCTCTTGCTTCATGAGCTGCTGAAGGAGTTTATCCACATGGACAAAGAAAGACCATTTTAAATCGTTCATAAAAGGACATTATATGAGTTAATGTGACTGACCACATGATTGTAAATATATTGTTCTGAATTACGAAGAGTAAACTACTTGTTCTTTATTGTTTATCTATGTAGCATATTTTCTTTCTCTGGCAAGGCAGTGTGTGGACTGATTAAACATGAATTATGCATGATTTTAATTTCATCAAAAGTTCTTCTTTCTATCAAGGTTAATGGCTCAGTGATACAGCAATACATGATACATGTTAAGTTACAAGTTACATCTCTGAAATAGTGGATTACGTGAGTTCAAAACCTAGGAATATCTCTATATAGAGATTGGTTTAGAAGATCAGCCACTCCAGTTGATTTCTTCATTCTAGATCAATGTTCCCCATTCTTTGATCCTCCAAGTGTTTTGGACATCAGCTCCCAGAATTCATGACAGTTGGCCAAACTGGCTAGGGCAGTGGTACTCAACCTGGGGTCCCCAGATGTTTCTGGCCTACAACTCCCAGAAATCCCAGCCAGTTCACCAGCTGTTAGGATTTCTGGGAGTTGAAGGCCAAAAACATCTGGGGACCCCAGGTTGAGAACCACTGGGTTAGGGCTTTTTGGAAGTCCCAAACACCTGGAGGACCAAATGTTGAGGTCCATCTCTTCTTGAGACAGCAAAACCAATTCTGACCCAGTGACTCTAGAACAGTTATTCTCAACCTGTGGGTTCCCAGATGTTTTGGCCTTCAACTCCCAGAAATCTTAGTAGCTGATAAATTCGCTGGGATTTCCGGGAGTTGTAGGCCAAAACACCTGGGGACCCACAGGTTGAGAACCACTGCTCTAGAAAAAGCTCATTTGTGAAGTCATTCTCAGTCTACCGAAATCCAATGAACAAGAAGGTCAAGATGTCCAGCTCCATATTTGCATGTCCTTCAAGTGGAGTATCCTTGAAAAAATGGTGAAGGTAACTGAGAAGTTCTTACCTGTACTGTACAATTAGGCTGACATTCTGAAAAGACCAGCAAAATACCTGTAAGAGGCTAGCTCAGCCTAACTGACCTTGAATATTTAACTCATTGGCCATGAAGGCTCTCAATTTCAAATGGAGACATTTTAGGTGTGTGTGCCTATGCTTCTTGCTGGTTTTTGAGGATGCTTTTTATAACTGGAGCTAAAACCTTTTAACTAAAAGCAATGAAGAACAGAGGCTTCCAAAATATACTTTGGGTCTTCTCTGTTCTATTTCAAGAACAATTGACCCAACTGGTCTTCCTCTATTCCAGGTGAAGCCGAGAAAGCTCTTGGGCACCTTGTTCAAGACACTATCACCTTCCTTCCTCTGTTCCTACCTTATTCTCTGTTGCATGCTTTTCTTTCTCCACTTTGGCCAGAGTCAGCTCCAGGTCATCGATATCTTTCTTCAGCTCAGAGCATTCATCCTCCAGCTTCCGCTTCTTGGCTGTGAGCTCAGCATTCATCTCCTCTTCATCTTCCAGGCGCTCTGTCTGTTCCTTAACTTTGGCTTCAAGCTGGATCTTGTTCTTGATCAACTGGTCGCAACGTTCTTCTGCATCTGCAAGATTATCTTGCTCCTGAGAAGGAAATAAGAAAAGAGAAAGAGTAAGTCACCCAAGAATCTAAATGCTCAACTAAGTTCCGATTTGGAGATGTGTCATATCATTCTGTGAACCAGACAGACATCTCAAATTTTGGACATCCAAGCACTTACTGCCTGAACTTGCAGCTGGAGGTCATTCTTCTCTTGGAGCAGGGAGACCATCTTCTCCTCCAGCTCTTTCCGACGAGCTTCAGACTTCTCCAACGCCTCCTTCAGCTTGCCAAATTCCTCCTTCATGGCTAACATCTCTTTCTCGGTTTCCGCACTCTTTAACAGCGGCTTGATCTTGAAGAAGAGTCTCATCCAAGGCCAGTTCTTCACCCCCATGAAAGCCCGGATGTTGTACTGGATCACAAGCAACGATTCCCTGTATGAACACATTTGAAAGGTAAACATCTTTTCCGATGTGCCTTTGGAGAGTGACCATTCACCCCATTTCTGTTTGTTCCACCTACAGTGTTGCACTTCCTCCCGTCCTAAACTGAAAGCCTAACCCAATTGTTCATCCTTTTGGGTTCCTCTCAAATGCACTTTTTCTACTCCTACCTCATCCAGGGTTTTATCATTTTACCTTGTCCATGTGGCCCGCCCATTTATTTTATTTTGCTTTGTTTACTCTATTCTGCTACTGTAATTTTTGTGACGTAATTTTTGTTGGTTTTGTTTGCATTTTGTATTTTATTTTGCTGTATTGTATCTTTGGGCTTGGCCTCATGTTAGTCGCCCCAAGTCCCCCTCGGAGAGATGGTGGCGGAGTATAAATAAAGTTTATAATAATAATAATAATAATAATAATAATAATAATAATTATTATTATTATTATTATTATTATTATTTGAAACACAACAAGATGAGTCCACAGCAGATAAGATCACTCTACTCAGGCACGTAGCCGCGGGGGGGGGGGGGGCTTGAGGGGCTTCAGCCCCCCCCCCCAAATTCTCATGGTGGTCTGCGATAAGGCCTTACTGGTACATTATTTAAACTATTATGTTTATTCATATCATGATCTGATCACCATGCTCAATATATCCCATATGCATGGAGGGTATTGGGGTAACGATACAAAAGGTTTGCTAGGGTAGACCCTCTTTCGTTCAGACTCAGCCCCCCCCCCCCCCCAATCAAACAGAGCTCCACAAGATGAGTCCACAGCAGACACTCTACTGGCTGTTGTATTGGATCACACGTCGGACACTTCCCAAGTGTCTAGGACTGTGTGATGTATCGGCAAATAATGCATGCAGATCCCAGTAAGGTGGCCTTCTGCAGCTGGCAGATGGTAATTTTGTCAGTGCCGATTGTGTAAGTGCAGGCCAAGGTCTTTAGGCACTGCACCCAGTGTGCCGATCACCACTGGGACCACCTTGACTGGCTTGTGCCAGAGTCTTTGCAGTTCAATCTTTAAATCCTTGCATCATTTAATAATAATAATAATAATAATAATAATAATAATAATAATAAATTATTATTATTATTATTATTATTATTATTATTATTATTATTATTATATAGGCAAAAAATGCAATTGAACACCACTGTACCTGCCATGGCGCAATAATATGGGTTCATGGGATTTATAGTGTTGTGAAGTCACAGCTGCCATGACTCTATAGCAGGTACAGGCAAACTTGGGCCCTCCAGGTGTTTTGGACTTCAACTCCCACAATTCCTAACAGCCGGTAGGCTGTTAGGAATTGTGGGAGTTGAAGTCCAAAACACCTGGAGGGCCCAAGTTTGCCTGTGACTGCTCTATAGGATTGTCTCATGGCAGTTGTATCCCTAGTCAAGAAAGGAACTTGGCACATCTGCCTGGCTGCTTATTTCTGCATATGCTGTACCACCAATTGAATTGTTTGTCTTTTTTAGTTTTTTTTCCTGTTAGGCCTTAGTAAGAATTATTTGTGGTGTTTTTTTAAAATCTTGGTGTGCATTTATTTATTAATAAAAGAGGTTTTGACTAGCAGACTAATATTTGTACAAGTATTTAAATTTTGTTCTGTCTTGTAGTTGTTAGCGAATTATCTGGAAATGTCATTATGTTTTATTTTTCTGATGCTGTGAGCTGCTTTGAGCATAATTTACCACGGGGGAAAATGGCATTATATGCAACGAGGAAGGTATTTAAGCAAGGACCGGGGACAAAATAGATCTTTTGTTTCAACAACGGCTTTATGCATTTTCGAATATTTGTTGCGTTGTTAGAATACGAACCTGGATTGATAGGGTATTTTGAAAACATATGTTTATGAATTCAGATCTGGATTTACCCACCTACATATTTTTGCCAAAAAATTGAATGTAGATAAAATATAGAGCACCATTTCTCAACCTGGGGGTCGGGACCCCTGGAGGGGTCACGAGGGGGTGTCAAAGGTGTCATCAAAGACCATCACAAAACAGTATTTTCTGTTGGTCTTGGGGGTTCTGTGTGGGAAGTCTGGCCCAGTTCTATCGTTGCTGGGTTTCAGAATGCAGATGTAGATGAACTATAAATCCCAGCAACTACAACTCCCACATGTCAAGGTCTATTTTCCTCAAACTCCACCAGTGTTCATATTTGGGCATATTGAGTATTCATACCAAATTTGGTCCAGATCCATCATTGTTTGAGTCCACAGTGCTCTCTGGATGTAGGTGAACTACAACTCCAAAACTCAAGGTCAATGCCCACCAAAACCTTTCAGTATTTTCTGTTGGTCATGGGAGTTCTGTGTGCCAAGTTTGGTTCAATTCCATCATTGGTGGAGTTCAGAATGCTCTTTGATTGTAAGTGAACTATAAATCCCAGCACTCGATCCCGCCTGCTTCTCAAGCTCGGCTGGCGGGGACGAGAGATGGGGCCTTCTCGGTGGTGGCTCCTCGGCTGTGGAACGCCCTTCCTACGGACATTAGACTAGCACCATCTCTAATGGTATTCCGCAAAAAGGTGAAGACCTGGATGTTTGTGCAGGCGTTTGAGTAATTTAGTGCAATCTGGTAATGGAACATAGGAATGAACAATGGACGACGAACCTGGACTACGCTTGGATGATGAGAAGATTGGGTACGGTTGTTTTTTGTAATAATTGTGCATTGTAATTGCTTATTGGTAATTTATGGATAATGTGTTAAGTCAATTGTTATATGTTGTATGGAACCACTGCTGTTTCTACTGTTTTTACTGTTTGTGAACCGCTGTGAGTAGCCTTCGGGCTTGAGATACAGCAGTATATAAGCAAAGTAAATAAATAAATAAATAAATAAGGTCTATTTTCCCCAAACTCCATCTGTGTTCACATTTGGGCATATTGAATATTTGTGCTAGGTTTGGTCCAGATCCATCCTTGTTTGAGTAGGTGAACTACAACTCCAAAACAGAAGGTCAATGCCACCAAATCCTTCCAGTATTTTCTGTTGGTCCTTGGAGTTTTCTGTGCCAAGTTTGGTTCAATTCCATTGGTGGTGGAGATCCGAATGCTCTTTGTTTGTAGGTGAACTATAAATCCCAGCAACTACAACTCCCAAATGACAAAATCAATTCCCCGCCAACTTCACCAGTATTCAAATTTGGCACAAATTTGGTCCAGTGAATGAAAATACATCCCACATATCAGATATTTACCTTACAATTCATAACGGTAGCAAAATTACCATTATGGAAGTAGCAACAAAAATAATGTTATGGTTGGGGGCCACCACAACATGAGGAACTGTGTTAAGGGGTCGTGGCATTAGGAAAGTTGAGAAACACTGATATAGAGTATTTTTCAGGTGTCTCTGTGTTCCCAAAATTATGGTGGGGATGTGTTATGGCCCCAAAGTCTCCTCTCCCCATTTTATTTATTATTTCATTAATATTTCAGAATACTGAATAGTGTAGATCTCCAACATCTAAAACCAATTAAATCTAATTTATGGTGCTATAGCAGTGTTCTGAAATATGTTCACCAAGATGTTGGAGACCACAGACCTTTTCCAACGAAGGCACAGTAGAATGACATTATGATGTCTTTTGGAAGGATGAACACCACTCACAACAGTTTTCTAGAGCCACCACACAAAAGACCTTGTTTTTTTGAGGGACATCAATATGGCGCATCCAGTAAGGACCTACTTCCGTTCCATGATCTTTCTGAATTCTATTCTGGCAAGAACACCACGGGACTGAGCCTGGATTCGAGTGATGATGCGAGAGAGGCGTTCATCCCTCATCTCCTCCAACAACCCCAGGAGACCTGCCTTGAAGAAGACCTGAGTGGAAGAAGATACTTGGTTGGAAAAAGTATTGCACTCCAGCCCACCCCATTATTGCGCAACGTGAGAAGTTCTAGCTAAGGCAGTGGTTCTCAACCTGTGGGTCCCCAGGTGTTTTGACCTACAACTCCTAGAAATCCCAGCTAGTTTACCAGTTGTTAGGATTTCTGGGAGTTGAAGGCCAAAACATCTGGGGACCCACAGGTTGGGAACCACTGAGCAAAGAAAACACTGCCATTTTTCTTGGGAGAGCAGCTCACTGTGGCTCCAACCACTGCTCACCTTTGTGTGGCCAAATTTGTACTGGTTGTGGTCAATGTCCAAAGAGCCCAAGAGCTTTTCTGCTCCCTTCCTGCTGTCTATGAACTGGCCCTCAGGGATGGCAGATGGGTTCAGGATGCGGTACCTGGGAAGAAGAAGGAAAAGATTAAATACTTCTGTACCTTCCTTGTAACATAGACAAGTAGCCACATCCAAACCCACAGCAGATAATATATTTCATTACTGCAATTTTGGCATAGTGAGATTTTGGGTATTCTCTTCTGCTCTTTCCCTGTCTTTTCTGAAAAATCAAGTGTGTAATCTTTGTGACAGTAAAGATAGGTTATCAAGGATGTAGTCCATCATGAGCCACATTCCATAAGATGGGAAGGAATGTCCAAGTGACCTGAGTCCTATTGTTAGTCCCAACTAGAGTAAACCCATTGCATCAGTGATATTTACCTATGTGTAAACTCACCATACAACAATTCTCCAATAGGATACATGACTTCTTGTTCCTTGGTCTGTACACTAAAAGAATACTCAATTGTCCCTCATAACAAAAGGCAATTACTTGCATGTAAGGCAGGATTTAATTTATTTTTGGATGGAGGAAATCCAATTGGCAACCAACTGCCAAGTTTATCACTTCTCCGAATGACTGTCCCATTAGAGCTCTCCCCATAACTGTGTCCCTTCCCTCATAGTATACTGTGCTTTTCCAAGGTATTCTTCCCATCCCAGTCAATTGAGGGACAAACCCACCTTTGCCTGAAGTCTCCGTACAAGATCCGGTTGGGGAACCCCTTCCGGCAAATTCGGATTCCTTCCAGTACTCCATTACAGCGTAGCTGGTGCATGACCAAGGGGTTGTCCATCACGCCTGAGGAAGAAGTGAAGAAAAGAACAAGAAAATATGCAGATAAGAGATAAAAAAGGAAGCAGTTGGTCACGTCCATATGGATAGCCAGGGACTTCTAAAGTCTTGGACACATGTCTTTCCTCTGCTAATTCCTTTTACCACAGATATTACAGATAAAATGAGAATTTCCTCCTACATCCTCCTATGGTGAAATGGAGCAATGAGTGCCGCCATGACACACGAGAAGGAAGAAGAGGACCTAAGATCTCACCTGGAGACTTTGTCTCATTGGGAATGATGCAACGCACAAAATGTGGGTGAGTAGAGCGCAGGTTGGTCATCAATTTGTTGAGGTTCTCCTAGAGATAAAAGAAGAATGGTAGCCTTGAGATGGATGGGAATGGGGAGTGATAGGATGGCTGAGTTAGCAAGGATACTAAGATGTCTGCAGCTTAGGAAGTGGGACATATTTCAAATGGGGAGTGGGGGCTTGAAAGGTGACATGATAGCCATCTTTAAATGTTTGAAGAGATGTTGTTGAAGATGGAGCCAGCTTGTTTGCTGCTGCTCTAGAAGACATGAATCAATGGATTCAAAATACAAGGGGGGTGGGGAATCTAAGTGTTAAGAAGAATGTCTTTGCATGAAACACATCAACAATGGGACAGAGCCTGGTGGACTCTCCTAGTTTGGATGTCTTTAAACGTCTTTCAGAAGTGTTTTAGCTGTGTACTTCTACATGGTAGGCTCTTGTGATCCCTTCCAATGCTACGATCCTGTTGCTACAAATTGGATTTAGAACTTGGATTTAGAATATGTCTGTCTGTATGTATATATTCCTTTCTGTAATATGTCTTAAGTTCTATCTCAGGGCAATGGTAGGATACAAATTACTTTGCAAATAATGACTGCCATGACAATGGTGACCATAATGTGGGTGCTGTTGTTTCCCATTTTCAAATAACCTAGGGATTTTCCTTACCCTGTGCAGAGCAGATACAGTTTGGAAGGAGGACCCTTTCTTCTTATGAGCGGTCTTTCCCTTACTGGTCTCAGCAGCTTAGGAAGAGAAAAGTTAAGGAAGGACAAAGAGAGAGGAAATAAATTAGAGTCCACTGGGTTAGAGAAGCTCTCCTCAATGTTGTCTCCCTGGGGTGTGTTGGACTACAATTCCCATGATGCCCAACCAGCTTTGCTATTGGATATGCTAACCGGGGCGTTGCAACTGTAGTCCCTCATACTTGGATAGCATATGTTAGAGAGGACAGTATTAAAATATATACATAAACATTTTGACCAGAGAGACATAGGAATTGTTAGAGAAATTGTCCCCTTGATTTAGTTTCATCTGCTTGGACTGGCACCAATCCTCAAGGGTCTCAGGTAGAAGTCGTTCCCATCTGCTATCTATCCTTCTAACTCAACCTGTGGGTCCCCAGGTGTTTTGGCCTACAACTCTCAGAAATCCCAGCCAGTTTACCAGCTGTTAGGATTTCTGGGAATTGAAGGCCAAAAACATCTGGGGACCTCAGGTTGAGAACCACTGTTCTAACTGGAGATGAGAGGATTAAGCTTGTGACCTTCTACATGCAATGAAGATGCCGTATCACTGTGCTATGGCCTCTCCTCATTCATTCTTAAGTCACACCAGGTACACCACATTATAACGTTTTGGTTGAGGACCCACAATTGGTGCTTTTCTGTTCTGGTTCCTATATTCATGACCTAGATTGGAATCGATAGGATTAGTATGGGAACACTAAGACTCCAGCCTGCCTCCACATTTCATGTTTTCTCTTACGTGCATCAGCTCCAGCGTAATTGGCAAAAAGATTTGCCAGGAGCTTGAGGGCCGATTTCTGGTAGAGCCCCACCACCGTCTCGTTGAGGGGGTCTTTGTTCTTCTGCAGCCAGCCGATGATGTTGTAGTCAACGGTGCCAGCATAATGGATGAGGGCAAAGTGAGCCTCTGGTTTGCCCTTGATGTTCCGGGGCTTCCCAAAGTTGGCTGACTTGCCCAGATGGTTGTCGAAGAGCTTGGCCTTGAAGGTCATATCGCTGGCCTTGGGAAACATGCATTCCTCTTCCAGGATTGACATGATTCCCATTGGCTGTAGAAGATGACAAAATATCAGTAGGTAGCTCCACCACTCTAAGAGTCACAATGGCAGGTCTAGGAAGAGGTTTTGTGATGATACCTGCTCAACATTAATTCATAAATGGACGCCTCCATATGATTCCAGATGGGCCACAAGCTATTGACCACACCAAAACCATCAAAGATTGGACATTGCACTTTTTTTTAACAAAGGAAGGGATCTCAAAGAGACTACCGTACCTTCTCAATGAGGTCAATGCAGGCCTGCAGGTCCATGCCAAAGTCAATGAAGACCCATTCGATGCCTTCCTTCTTGTACTCTTCTTGCTCCAGGACAAACATGTGGTGGTTGAAGAACTGCTGCAGCTTCTCATTAGTGAAGTTAATGCAGAGCTGTTCAAAGCTGTTGAACTGGATTTGGTAGAGGAGAATGAAATCAAGAATCAGGAAGCTGTGAGCACTTTGGTGGAAAATGTCTCCACAAGATGGAAGGAACAGAGATTGTTAGTCTTCACAGTGGACACTCCTGGTTTGCTTTGGACAGGTATATATAAAACTGGAGGAGTCAGGTAGAGCAGTGGTGTCCAACCTTTGGTCCACCACGTGTTTGGGACTTCAACTCCCAGAAGCCCTGACCAACTTATCCAATGGTCAGGAATTCTGGGATCTGAAATCCAAAACACCTGGAGGACCAAAGGTTGGACACCACTGTGTCAGTGCATGGACTACAGTCCTCATAATCCTCAGGCTGCAGGATTCTGGAAAATGTTGCCCAACAAAATAACTTTTCCAAGTTGTGGCTGGAATGCACAAATCCATGGACAAATTGAACATGGTGGTGTTTTGAGCCTGAAATGCTGTATTATTCCTGATGCTAAAAGACCAACCCATTGCTACTCTATATAAATAAAAATGCAATGTTCGTTTGTGGGATTAACATAACTCAAAAACCACTGGACGAATCGACACCAAATTTGGACACTACACCTCTAATACACCAACAAGTGACCATCACTCATGAACCCCTCTCCAAAAAACAGCAGAAAGGACTTAAAAACCCCAAAAAACTAAATGATGATACAGTACATGCATGAAAACGACAGCTCACAGCATCCCCTTTAGGGGAGGAGGATGCTCCAAATACACTGCTTCCAAGCTGCAAGCTTACTTCTCCTTGGATTTCTTTGAGAGCATCCCAATCCATACATATTTCCTATTCCTGGACTGCAATTCCCAGCAATCCTCCAGATAGATAAGGTATATAGATCAAATAGAGATAGATGGTAGGTAGGACTGCTGGGAGTTTCAGTCCAAGAACAGGTAGAGAAGGAAGAAAGGAGAGAAAGAAATGGGGAGGGGAAGGAAGGGAAGAAGTAGAGAAGGAAGGAAGGAAGGAAGGAAGGAAGGAAAAAAGGAAGGAAGGAGGGAGGGAGGGAAGGAAGGAAGGAGGGAGGGAGGGAGGGAAAGAAGGAAAGAGGGAGGAAGGAAAAAATGGAAGGAAAAAGAGAAGGAAAGGAAAAAAGGAATGAAGGAAAGAGGGAGAAAGGGAAGGATGGAGAGAAAGAAAGAAGGAGAGAAAGAGGGAGGGAAATTTAGCCACAGCAACACATGACCAGAACAGCTAGTATTCACCACAAAACAAAATCTCTGAGAAGGAGACACTCACATCAAAAATCTCAAAACCAGCAATATCTAGCACGCCAATGAAATATTGTCGAGGTAGCTTAGTTTCTAGTGTGGCATTGATTCTCGTGACCATCCAGCTGAACATCTTCTCATAGACCGACTTGGCCAGGGCCCCAGTAGAATAGCACACCTGTGGGAAAAGAAAGCAGGGGTCAAGGTTAGTCGATAAAGACACACCTATTTCCCTAACAGAGTGGATCGGTGACTATGGGGCAAGTGAGAAAGTGGAAACCTCGATAGGACTCCAGATCGCCTTGCCCACAATTTCACATTCCATTATTAAAATGGTACTGAATTTCGAAACCAGCTCTGATCTCCAGAACTTGGGAGAAAGGAGACCTGTTGTCCAACCTGCAATAGACTTCTCACCTGCTGGACCGTTTGTCCTTTGGTGACGTACTCATTTCCTACTTTGACCCTCGGGTGGCACAGGCCCTTGAGCAAGTCGGCGGAGTTCAGCCCCATTAGGTAGGCTGATTTGTCCGCTTCTGTAAAGGCAGAAAACAACATTGGCTTGGTTTGGGAACGAGAGTGGACAACTGAGATGTATTTGGAGTATAGTTACAATACTGAAGGCAAGTGTTATGGGAAGAAGGTGGAGAAATTGATATTTAACATTTATATGCAACCACTTCCTCAGCTGGTTCGAGGTTTTGGGCTTTAGTGTTACCAGTATGGTGATGACACTCAGCTGGTGCTGAGGATGGAGGGCAGACCAGACTCTGTACCTGATTATTTTCATCAGTGCCTCGAGGCCGTTACTGGATGGCTGTGTGCCAGCAGGTTGAGGGTGAATCCAGCAAAGATGGAGATCCTATGGCTGGGTCAACCGGGCAGTGGGGATATCCAGCTGCCTACCCTGGATGGCGAGGCGTTACACCTGTCATCATTGGTAAAGAGTCTGGGAGTCCTTTTGGACCCTCTGCTGACGATGGAGGCCCAGGTCTCCGCCGTTAGCAGAACCCCCTTTTTTCATCTGCAGCAGGCTAGATGGCTGGCCTGCTCTCTGTCTGGGGACAACCTAGCTACGGTGATCCAGGCTACGGTCATCTCAAGACTGGACTACTGTAACGCCCTCTACATTGGCCTTCCTCTGTCGGCGATCCGGAAGCTCAAGTTGGTACAAAATGCAGCTGCTCGGCTTCTTGCGTTAATTCCAATGAGATGCCACATAACCCCAATCTTACTACAGCTGCATTGGTTACCAATTGAGCACCGGATCACTTTCAAAGTGATGGTACTCACCTTTAAGGCCTTGCATGGTCTGGGGCCGATATACCTGAGGGACCGCCTCACCCCCTACCAACCCCAGAGATCCCTCCGTTCTGAGGACCAAGATTTATTGGAAATTCCCAGTGTCAAGACCTTGCGTCTAACAGCAACCAGACGCAGAGCCTTTACAGCAGTGGCACCATCACTCTGGAATACTCTGCCACCTGAAGTCCGTGCCTTGCGGGACCTATCAGCTTTCTGCAGGGCATGTAAGACATATCTGTTTCGACAGGCCTTTGATCTTTGATATTGTTGTTTTTAAATTGTGTTAGATTTTAGCCTGTTCTTGTAAGCCGCTCCGAGACCCAGGGGAGTGGTGGCATATAAGTTTGAATAATAAATAAATAAATGTCTCTTTCTATCTAGGTATCTTTCTTGATGTATTGTGGATGGCATCATCTTCACCAACATCTTGACTGTCATGTAATATTATGTTTCTAGTCCTTAAGACTATAAAATATCAGACCAGATGCGGTAAGTAATGCATGTTAAACTCCTGGAGGTGGAAGAGTTTCACATGAGCACACTTTGGCAGAGAAGACAACTCCTCTTATGATTCCATAGCAATGAGCCATGGAAGTTAAAGTTGTTGGAGCAGGCAAGGAATCGGTGTGTGTGTGTGTGTCTGTGTGTGTCTGTGTGTCAACTGTAAAATAAGATGCATGAAGCTGATTGGCTGTGGAGCAGACTGAGCCTGGGACTTTCAGATGCTGTTACATTTTTGTTCAGGGTTGACCTATTCAAGTGCAGAGAGAGATTGAAGAGAGAAGCAGAGAGAGAGAGAGAGAGAGAGAGAGAGAGAGAGTTTGGAGTGTGGTCTTGCTTCATGAACTGCTGAAGGAGTTTATCCACATGGACAGAAGAAAGACTATTTTAAATCTCTCATAAAAGGAAATCATGTGAGTTGATGCAACTGATCACACTGTACATATGTTGTTCCGAACTAAGAAGAGTAAACTACTTGTTCTTCACTGTTCACCTGCATGGCATATTTTCTTTCTCTGGCAAGGCAGTGTGTAGGCCGATCAAATGTGAATTACACGTGGTTTACTTTACATTATGCTACAAAAGTGGTGTCAAAATGCATTGGGTTGTTGCAGGTTTTTTCGGGCTATATGGCCATGGTCTAGAGGCATTCTCTCCTGACGTTTCGCCTGCATCTATGGCAAGCATCCTCAGAGGTAGTGAGGTCTGTTGGAACTAGGAAAAAGGGTTTATATATCTGTGGAATGACCAGGGTGGGACAAAGGACTCTTGTCTGCTGGAGCTAGGTGTGAATGTTTCAACTGACCACCTTGATTAGCATATAATGACCTGACAGTGCCTAGAGCAAACTTTTGTTGAGAGGTGATTACATGTCTTTGTTTGTTTCCTCTCTGTTGTTGTGCTGTTGTAATTTTGCATTAATTCAACAGTGTTGATGCACCCTTCCGTCATGCTTAGTGGACCAAGTGAAATCAATGAAATGTTACTTCATCATAACAGCTTAATAGCCACTAGTTTCAATGATTGTGGCTGGATCAAACTCATCACATCAATTGACCAGTTTCCGAATTTAATTTCCTTTGAATCCAACCCTGTGTGCTGTCTGCATATATGAGGGCTGAAATGCTCCATTGGAAATCTTTCTAATGTCTAGGTTCTTGTAGGTTTTTTCGGGCTATAGGGCCATGTTCTAGAGGCATTTCTCCCGACGTTTCGCCTGCATCTATGGCAAGCATCCTCAGAGGTAGTGAGGTGATGTCTTTCTAATGTCTTTGCCTCAAATTATTGATGATAACAATAACATCGGGGGGGATAAACTTTCCCACCTTCAGTGCCATCTGGCTCTGCTTGCTCTTCACGTTGCTTCTGCTTGAATTTCATGTTTCCGTAGTGCATGATCGCACCCGTCAACTTGTAGATGGAGTTTTTCTCTTCTTGGGTGAAACCTAAGATGTCAAAGGCACTCTGTATATGGGGAAAGAAAAAAGGAGAAGCTTTGTACAGCTCAAACAGCAACAAACAGCGGCTCATGAGTCATTTAGCTTAAAATAATCATTCTGTCACTCTGTTGCTGGTACTCACGTCAGTTGCTAACAGTTCCTCTGCATCGTCGATAGATGGGACCGTCGTCTCTCCTTGGGAGATGAAGGAATAGTCGTACGGGTTGTTGGTGACCAGCATCATGTCTAGAAAAGAAGTTGGACTCGTTTAGCAAGGCAGGAACAAAGGCAAATGAAGAGTGAGCCCCCCTCCAAATATTTCTTCAGTTGCCTAAGAACAACAATTGTGGTATCAGGTTTGACTAAATCCATCAAAAGGAGTTTAGGAAACCCCCATAAAGCAGCATTTCTCAACTTGGGGGTCTGGACCCCTGGGTGGGTTGTGAGGGGTGTCAGAGGGGTTGCCAAAGATTATCAGAAAACACAGTATTGTCTGTTGGTCATGGGGGTTCTGTGTGGGAAGTTTGGCCCAATTCTATTGTTGGTTTTTTGGTCGTGTCAGGAGCGACTTGAAAAACTGCAAGTTGCTTCGTGTGAGAGAATTGGCCGTCTGCAAGGACGTTGCCCAGGGGACGCCCGGATTATTTTGATGTTTTATCATCCTTGTGAGAGGCTTCTCTCATGTCCCCGCATGAGGAGCTGGAGCTGATAGAGGGAGCTCATCCGCCTCTCCTCGGATTCGAACCTGCAACCTGTTGGTCTTCAGTCCTGCCAGCACAGGGGTTTAACCCACTGCGCCACCGGGGGCTCCAGTTCACTTCTGATGTGACAAAAAATCCATCTAATTTTTGTTCATCCCTAACAGACTTGGAAACAACCAATAATAGCAAAATATTGAAATGAGACTCAGTTCTAATTATACCAAATTTAGAAGTCCCAGGGAGCGTCTATATTGCAAAATTAATGTAGATTAATCTGTCCTGTGTAGATGCACCCATATCTATGTCTGTATTAGACTACACTAGAGCTTCAAAAATTGAAGGAACTCCAGGGAGAACCAGATTGACACCTGTAATTGCTATAATTAAATCCAACTCGAGTCTTCATTCAGAGGAGCAAACCCTTCCATCTGATGTCCTCTTGCTCTGGATGATACTTTGCCAATTAGACCTAATAAGGAGACTCTTATACCGAATCCAATGTGTCAAGGTGGGAAATTTTCAGTTAAATGAGGACAAGCTCATGTTTATTCAAAGGCTCGTTTGTTAAAAACCAGCTCAGCAAAACCGTTGCCCAGATGAGAGGGACATTCCTTCATCAAGACATACCCAAGAGCTCTGGCTTCTTGTTGGACAAGATCTGGTAGAAGATGTGGTAGTTCCTCTCAGCTTTTAGCTGGAAGATGACCCGAGACTTTTCCAGGAGATCTAAGAAGTGGAAGATTTGGAGTAGTTAAAGGAGACAAATGTGGGAGTATATGCGTGCAAAAGAAACGTTTCCTTTGAGGAAAATGAGAAAGTTAAATAGGAAAATGGGCACTCACAGGTCTCTATGTCCGCTGACGCCAGTTTCCCTGTTGCCCCAAAATGGATGCGGATGAACTTACCCTGAAAGGTAAACAAAGAAAGATGGTAAACAAAAGCTAGTAAACCAGAGATCCTGTGTCCCTTCCTCCTCTTGTCTCAAATCCCCCAATGAGTGATAACTCACAAATCGGGACGAGTTGTCGTTCCGCAGGGTCTTGGCGTTCCCAAAGGCTTCCAAGGCAGGGTTGGCTTGGATGATTTGATCTTCCAGCGTCCCCTGTGCGATCGCATAAAAAGTGAGAAACGTTTTCCGTCACAGTTCAGAAATCAATGGGGGAAATCAAGATAAAGTGAGTTTATTTATTTATTTCGTGTCAAAAGCATTGCATACATTTATTTTTTGTATCAGAAGCGAACCAAGGGTACAGTTGTAATCTATATAAATAAAAATGTAATGTTCGTTTGTGGGATTAACAGAATTCCCATATATACTGAGCTGTTGAACTTGATAACTGAAAGGTTGCAGGTTCGAATCTGTGGAGCGAGGTGAGCTCCTGCTGTTAGCCCCAGCTTCTGCCAACCTAGCAGTTCGAAAGCATGCAAATGTGAGTAGATCAATAGGTAACGCTCTGGTGGGAAGATAGCGGCATTCCATGCAGTCATGCTGGCCACATGACCTTGGAGGTGTCTACAGACAATGCCAGCTCCTCGGCTTAGAAATGGAGATGAGCATCAACCCCCAGAGTCGGACACGACTGGACTTCATACCAGGGGGAAACTTTTACCTTTACTAAGATATTTAGGATGGGAACATTGCTCAAGCTCTTGACCTTCCCAGGTAGCTTTCAATTTCTTGTTGGCTTCTTGTTTACGTAGGTGGAAAGCACACATTTTTTTCTTGGCAGGGTTAGGCTTTGCGTGGTTATCTTTCTAATAGCTGGAGAGATCTTTCAGGGTGTGAATAAGTTGGTAAGGTGGGTGGAAGGAGAAAGGTGAAAGGATTCCATAATGCGTAATAATTCTGATATGCAGAAGCATGGGCATAGGCATCATATGGTTCTCAGGACCCAATATTTTTGAAATTTATTATTTATTATTTATTATTATTAACTTTATTATTAAGCAATAAACAATAAAACATTAAACAATATCATGACACAGTTAAAACTAGGGCCAGGCCAAATGTAATGAATAAAAATTAAAAGTGCTGGACATGACAGGTGAAATGTAAGGATTTTAGGGTAAGTGCAATGTGCAGGCAATCTTAACTCTCTAATAAAGTGCGTTTGGGACATGATGCTGGGAGTTTCCTATTCTGGAAAGGCACACTGGAACAGCGAGGTCTTCAAGCTCTTCCTAAAGACTGCCAATGTTGGGGCTTGTCTGATGTCCTTGGGGAGAGAGTTCCAGAGTCAGAGGGCTACCACAGAGAAGGCCCTGTCCCTCGTCCCCACCAAACGAGCCTGCGACGCAGGAGGGATCGTGAGCAAGGCCTCTCTAGATGAACGGAGTGATTGTGTGGGTTCATATACAGAGATGCGGTCACGCAGGTAGGCGGGTCCCAAACCGTTTAGGGCTTTGTAGGTAAGTACCTGCACCTTGAATTGGGACCGGAAGATGAACGGCAGCCAATGGAGCTCCTTAAACAGGAAGGTTGACCCCAAATTATTTTTGCCACATTTTTGGGGTCCTCTGGGTCACTTTAGGTTGAGGAATGCCCTTTTTCCAAAAGGAAGTGATGGAGAAGTTGATAAACAATGGAGGGAGAAAGAGGGATAGTGATAACTCATCTTCCGCTGTCTTTTCCGCTATAAAACTTTCCAGGTTGGTTGCCCATCAATGGAAAACCTTCAGAAGGAAAAAGGCTTTCCTACCACACAGGCCCACCTAATGGATAGTCTCGTAGTGAACGGAAATGCTCACCTTCCCGGTGCCTGCTGCCTGGTCTTTCTTGCCGCGATCGCCGATGGCAGCAATCACAGCAAAGTACTGGATAACCCGCTTGGTGTTCACAGTCTTTCCTGCCCCGGATTCTCCGCTGTGGATGCAAAGGTAAGGTTTTCCTATCTTATCAAACTTATTGAGAATAGAAGGAAGGTAGGTTTAATTCTTTTGGGTTGGTTGATTGCAACCTTTCTGCCTTACTGTGGACAATTGATTATACATAGAATCCTAGAGTTGGAAGAGACCTCCTGGGCCATCCAGTCCAACCCCCTGCCAAGAAGCAGGAATGTTGCATTTAAAGCACCCTTGACAGATGACCATCCAGCCTCTGTTTAAAAACTTCCAAAGAGGGGCCTCCACCACACTCCTGGGCAGAGAGTTCCACTGCTGAATGGCTCTCACAGTCAGGAAGTTCTTCCTAATGTTCAGATGGAATCTCCCTTCTTGTAGTTTGAAGCCATTGTTCCGTGTCCTAGTCTCCAGGGAAGCAGAAAACAAGCTTGCTCCCTCCTCCCTGTGACTTCCTCTCACATATTTATACATGGCTATCATATCTCCTCTCAGCCTTCTCTTCTTCAGGCTAAACATGCCCAGCATCCATGGTGCATAGGTGGTCCATGAATAATCCAAAACAATCATGGATAGAGAACACATTTATATTCTGTTTTTCTACTTTCTACTTATTCTACTTATACTAAGTACACTTGTTGGACAGCAGTGGCTCCCAAAGTGACCCATTTAAGGTGAAATCAGGTGTCAATCAAGGCTGTGTTTTTGCCCCAACCTTATTTTCCATCTTCATCGTTATGATACTTCATCTTGTCGATGGAAAGCTTCCCACCAGAGTGGAAATAATCTGTTGGACCAATGGCAAGCTCGTTAACCTCAGAAGACTGAAAGCCAAAACCAAGGTCACAACATCTGTTATAGAACTCCAATATGCTGATGATAAGGTAGTCCAGGCACATTCAGAAGAAGACCTACAAGCCACCTTTGAGAAGCATATGAGAAGCTCGGCCTCTCATTGAACATCGAGAAAACCAAAGTACTCTTTCAGCAGTCACCAACCAATTCCTCTCCAATACCAGAAATACAGCTTAATGGTGTAATGTTAGAAAATGTTGACCATTTCCGCTCTCTTGGTAGCCACCTCTTCACAAAAGTCAACATTGACACTGAAATACAATACCGCCTGAGCTCTGCAAGTGCAGTATTTTTCAGAATGAAGCATAGAGTGTTTGAGGATCAGAACATCTGTAGGGATACCAAGGTGCTTGTTCATAAAGCTATTGTCCTCCCAACCCTGCTATCTCCCCGTGAAACGTGGACTGTCTACAGACGTCACATGCAACTCCTGGAACGATTCCATCAGCATTGCCTCTGAAAAATCCTGCAAATCTCTTGGGAAAGCAGGTGGACAAATGTCAGCATGCTGGAAGAAGCAAAGCCCACCTGCATTGAAGCGATGCTCATACACCATCAATTCCTCTAGACTGGCCACATTGTCCAAATGCCCAATCACTGTCTCTCAAAGCAGTTATTATATGCCGAACTCGAGAATGAGAAACATAATGTTGGTGAACAGGAAAAGAGATTTAAAAATGGGCTTTAAGCCAACCTTAAAAATTGTGGCATAAAGACGAAGAACTGGGAAGCTCTGGCCCTTGAGTTCTCTAACTGGAGGTCAGCTGTGACCAGCAGTGCTGCAGAATTCGAAGAGGCACAAATGGAGAGCAGAAGGGAGAAACATGCCAAGAGGGAGCACGTCAAGCCAATCCTGACCAGGACGCCTTCCACCTGGAAACTGAAGTTCTAACTGTGGAAGAACATGCGGGTCAAGAATAGGACTCTACAGCTACTAATGGACCAACCGCCAAGACACTACACTTGGAGGACCATCATCCTCGGGCTACGAGGGATCGCCTAAGTACATAAGTACACTTGTTGCCACAGGAGCAGCAACAACCCTCTCTGTTCCAAATTACTTGTGTTTATTGTGTCTTTGCAAAGGAATGAAAAGGTTGGTATCTTGCAATCACCTTTTTGTGGACTAAAGAAATAAATTAGTTGCACTGAACCAACTTTTGAATGGGAAATCAACATTTAATAGAAGTCCTATTGATTCAGTGGGTCATTTATGGTTGGACTCAAGCTAAGATTTCCCTGCCAACTGAATTACCTGAAAGCCATTTTTTTTCACCAATGGACCTGAACCAGGTTAAAACCAATCAGGAGACAAAATAGGAAAAGTCACCAAGAATGTAAAGAGGTCAGGCTAAGGACTGAAATGAATAGTTTCAGAGGAGACTGCCAAAAAGAGACTCAGGGTGCATCTAAACTAGGCCTGGGCAAACTTGGGCCCTCCAGGTGTTTTGGACTTCAACTCCCACAATTCCTAACAGCCTCCGGCTGTTAGGAATTGTGGGAGTTGAAGTCCAAAACACCTGGAGGGCCAAAGTTTGCCCATGCCTGATTTACACTGTAGAATTAATAGAGTTCGACACTAATTTAACTGTCATGGCTCAAAGTTATGGAATCCTGGGAATTGTAGTTTGGTGATGCACCGTCACTCTTTAGCAGAGAAGATTAAAAATCTTGCAAAACAACAACTCCCAGGATCCAGAGCACTGAGCCATGGCAGTGAACATTTTGTTAAACTGCATTAATATATACAGTGTAGATGTACTCTCTGCTTCCATTGGTCAGTAAGTAAGCTTAGTTCATACAATGGATATTCATAGGGTTTGGAGGAGGAGGAGGAGGAGGAGGAGAAGAGGAAGGACGAAGAGGAAGGAGAAGAAGAAGAAGAGGAAGGAGAAGGAGAGGAGGAGGAAGAAGAGGAAGGAGGAGAAGAAGAGGAAGGAGAAGGAAAAGAAGAGGTAGGAGAAGAAGGAGAAGGAGAAGAGGAGGAGGAGGAAGAAGAAGAAGAGGAAGGAGGAGGAGAAGAGGAAGGAGAAGGAGAAGAAGAGGAGGAGGAGGAAGAAGAAGAAGAGGAAGGAGGAGGAGGAGAAGAAGAGGAAGGAGAAGGAGAAGAAGGAGGAGAAGAAGAAGAAGAGGAAGGAGATGAGGAGGAGGATGAGGAGGAGGAGGAGGAGGAGGAGAGGAGCAACTTACGTGATCAGAATCGACTGGTTCTCCCGATCTATATGGTTTGGTGAAAGAAGGATTAAAAGAGGAAAATGAAAAACTTGTAAGCAAGTAAGGAAATAAAGAGAGAACAGAAGCCATGAAACAACAGGTGAAACCATAAGTACAGGAGGAGAAAACATAGGAGAACTAGCAAGTGCACAAAGGAAGAAGTGGTGAACATTGTACAATATTTTGTTTGTTCTCAAGCTCTCCTCATCCTTTCTCCCTTCTTTCAAAATTTCTTTATAAATGGTAGTACCTAATTGGTTCTGTCATAAAAATCGCCAATAATGAAATAATGAAATTTTGAAAGTTTTGTTAGAGTTCTGAAATTTTCACCACTAGAACTTTAGCAACACTTCAGAAGCAAAGCATCAGCGCCCCCTAATTTTGTAAGTACTTTAGAACCATTTAGAACCATGAATTGCCCATGCCTACTAACTAATGTTGGAGAGGTGTTCTCTCTAGGAAGCTCTAGGCATAGGCAAACGTCGGGCCTCCAGGTGTTTTGGACTTCAACTCCCACAATTCCTAACAGCCAAAACACCTGGATAGCCAAAGTTTGCTCATGCATGACCTAGGTCCTCCAGCCCACCTCTATTAGTTAGTTACCCCATGGCTGGGAGGCAACAAGCCATCTGATAGACCCATTGCCCCAGATAGCACTTTACCTGTCAGCATGTTCTGGTAGGCATTGTCTGAGATGGAGAAGATGTGCGGAGGGGCTTCACTTCGTTTCTTGCCCCGATAGGCAGCCACTACTTCTGCGTTGTAGACCGGTAACCACTTGTAGGGGTTTACAGTCACGCAGAAGAGCCCAGAATAGGTCTAGAAAGGAAAAGAAGTGACAAGAATAGTTAGGAACAATGCCTATGGAGGATGTTCCCAACTGTATGTCCCAGGAAAGTTTCCGGGCCAAGACTTGAGTTTTAGGAATAGGCTGAGCTGGACCCTGTTTAATATTTTGTGGCCCATGAGATTAATAACCCTAGGGACTAAATCAGGCATGGGCAAACTTCGGCCCTCCAGGTGTTTTGGACTTCAAAAGGAATTGTGGGAGTTGAAGTCCAAAACATCTGGAGGGCCAAAGTTTGCCCACGCCTGGACTAAATGATGGTTGTGGATACTATCTCCAGACTTACGTAGATCATCCAGGCTGCATAGCGTTCCTTCAGGTTGTAGAGGACCGCAGGTTCATGCAGGAAGGTGAGCATGGCCATGTCCTCAATCTTGTCGAACTTGGGCGGGTTCTGCTGCATGATCTGGTCTTCTTTCACCGTCACGGTCTGCCAAGAATCAAGAATAAAGTTTCCAAGAGGGACAAGCTCCATTGGCAAGTTGAGTGTCCTCTACTTGTGACCCATTTAACCTTGCACTAAGAATTGATGAATGAAGGCCATGACAGAGAGTGGAGAAGTCAACTCAATGAAAGGAATGTCCTACTGAAAGGTAATGAAGTCATCATAGTTTATCCTCATTCATGCCAGGTTGGGAGGTAGGCGAATTAAGGAAGACTATCATTTGAACTTGATGTGAGGCTGAAGCTGGGAGATGCTTCAAAATACTAATGAGAGAATTGTTTTTGAGGGAAGAACCCAAGAATGTGTTAGCAGCTAGAAGGTTGCCTTAGATTGGTAGAGAGAGGGTCTCATTTGGTTGGGTTTTTTAAATATGGGACTTCAAGTTGACTTGTGATGACTCCCAACTAAGGTTTTCTTGGCAAGAGGAGAGTTTTTATTCCCTTTTGGGATGAGAAAGTGTGACTTGTCCATGGTGGACTTTCCATGGCTAACACTGGAAAGTGGGCTAACTTGTCCACCATGGCCCACCATGGACTTTCCAAACTCTGGTCTCCTATGATCCTAATTCAACATCCAAACTAGTATTTACTATGGTAGTTCTCCATATGATCATATCACTACTTAAATATATAGGCAAAGGAAGATGTTGGGAAATACTCAACGATGTTGTGGACGGCCAGCCTAGTAAAAAACAATTACTGTGCTGGTACTGCTGTACCAGGAGCTCCAACTTTATTTTCTTTCTGTTATCTGTTTGCAGTCATAGGGCAGGCCTCCTGTCCATCATAATTAAGCTTTGGTTCTGCCCCTTGTTCAGGGCTCTGGGAGGGAAAGGAGCCATTTTTTTGGGCAGTCTCACATAAGGAAGCTAAACTATAGGACGTAGACCAGCTTGTCCCATAGAAAAGCTTCTTTTCTCAAGAACATCCGGGGAAGCAGAAACAGAAATTCCAGGGGAAAGGTCCCAAGGCTCTGGCTGAGAGCTCACAGCCTCTCAGCCTCACAGCAATCAGAGGGAAAACAGCCCTGAGGTTTTCAAAGAATTCTCTGAGGGAGGACAGCACTACAGATCCACGGAACTCCATCTGAAATATCTCCAAGCCTCGGCTGGTAGGTCTACTCGATACCCAGACGCATTTGGAATCTGTAGTAGGACCCACACCGATGAGGCATAGATAGTAAACAGTCTGGGAGAGGTTAAATAGGGTTTTTTCCCACAGAGAAAGTACAGTTAATTAAAGTCAGGTACCAGTCCATTGAGGACTAAACTAAGAAAGCCTTGAAGTGTTGTTTGAATCATTGAAGATTTGTTGTTTGTTCCATAATAAAAGACTTTGTTGTATCATTAAAGACTCTAAAGACTATCACTTCAGAAAAATCCCTGAGAACCTCTCTTTGAGGCTCCCTGGCTTCCCGCTGGGCTTAAAGTATACGTCCTATAGAAAAGACATCTGTTACAGGCTCAGCGCACGACAGAACAATTACCTTGCCCCTTTCTGTTTCTGCGGTGACTTTGCCACCTTCTTTGGAAACAATCTTAGCCTTAACGAACTCTTCCTTGTCATCCGGCACAAATACGTCCTTCTTCATGTCAAAAGGCCGGTTTTGCGATTCAATCCTGGCCTTTTCGGGCATGCGCAGGTAAGGGGCAGCAGGGCCAAACTCGGCCATATCAGCACTGGAAGTCATGGCTGGAGCTGGAACGAAATATTTCCAAAAACAAAATTCATACAGTGACTTTCTTGCATCCACCGAAGAACCCCAAGTTGAGAATTTGAACTGGTGGTTAGGACAAACCTTGCTGTTCATCAACCAGTCACCAAGGGCAGCATCACCCAAGTATCTCCATAGACTTGGACCCATTAGAAATAGGCCTTCACCAGCAGGAGGTGCTCAACTCTTTGCACCAAAAAAGGAAATGATGGCACTGCTTCCCCTAAGTGGCCAACAGGAAGACTGCAAGTTTAACACTATTGCTTCCTATGTACATTGATCTGCCCCCTAGTGGTCATTAGAGAAATTGCAACCAGTAGATATCATTTCTGCACTTTACTGGTAAAGTAATATAGGTAAAGGTAAAGGTAGTCCCCTGACATTAAGTCCAGTCATGTCTGACTCTGGGGTGTGGTGCTCATCTCCATTTCTAAGCTGAAGAGCCGGCGTTGTCCGTAGACACCTCCAAGGTCATGTGGCCAGCATGACTGCATGGAGCGCCGTTAAGTAATATAGGTAAAGTAATATAGGTAAAAGTAAAGGTTGTCCCCTGACATTAAGTCCAGTTCTATAGGAGCCCCCGGTGGCGCAGTGGGTTAAACCCCTGTGCCGGCAGGACTGAAGACCGACAGGTCGCAGGTTCGAATACGGGGAGAGGTGGATGAGCTCCCTCTATCAGCTCCAGCTCCTCATGCAGGGACATGAGAGAAGCCTCCCACAAGGATGATAAAAACATCAAATAATCCGGGCGTCCCCTGGGCAACGTCCTTGCAGACGGCCAATTCTCTCACACCAGGAGTCACTCCTGACACGACAAAAAAAAAAAGTCCAGTTGTGTCCGACTCTGGGGTGTGGTGCTCATCACCATTTCTAAGCCAAAGAGCTGGCGTTGTCTATAGACACCTCCAAGGTCATGTGGCTGGCATGACTGAATGGAACGCCGTTACCTTCCCGACGGAGCAGTACCTATTGATCTACTCACATTTTCATGTTTTCGAACTGCTAGGTTGGCAGAAGTTGGGGCTGACAGTGGAAGCTTACACCGCTCCCTGGATTTGAACCTGCGACTTTTTGGTCAACAAGCTTAGCAGCTCAGTGGTTTAGCCCACTGCGGCACCGGTCATTTTATATACCCCGGTGGCGCAATGGGTTAAACCCTTGTACTGGCAGGACTAAAGACCAACAGGTTGTAGGTTCAAATCTGGGGAGAGCATGGATCTGGGTATTCCCTGGGCAACGTCTTTGCAGACAGCCAATTCTCTCACACCAGAAGCGACTTGCAATTTCTCAAGACGCTCCTGACATTAAAAAAATCCTATATACCATATACCATCACAAATATTCCCCACCATTAATTACCTTCTTTTTTTCCCTAGGATATGGCACGGGATCTGCAGCTGGATGATATTTTGAGCTAGACTCCTGTTGTAGAAGAGCACAGAATCAGTACAAGATATCTCAAATGCAAATCCTATTATTTCTTTCTGATACATTCTAATGAGAGAAGACATAGGATGGGTAAGGAAAACACACAATGCTACGGAGATGCTGCTTTTAATATACATCATGCTGTCAACCTGGGTCCAGGTCTCTTGTCTTGAAGAGCTTCTAATAGGCATAGGAAGGCTGAATTCCATCATCAAAAAGGGACTTATGTCAAAGCCATTATGAAAGATAAGTAATATCAAGCAGGTGTTTGGGGGAGTCAGCTCGTGCATAGTTATGAACCGAGCTGGGAAAAGTTACATTTTTAAATGACCTAGGATTGTGAATGTTGTAGTCCAAACTAATTGCTCTTTCCCAAGTTCTGCTTGTTCAGATTCTATCTGAACATTAGGAAGAACTTCCTGACTGTGAGAGCCGTTCAGCAGTGGAACTCTCTGCCCCGGAGTGTGGTGGAGGCTCCTTCTTTGGAAGCTTTTAAGCAGAGGCTGGATGGCCATTTGTCAGGGGTGATTTGAATGCAATATTCCTGCTTCTTGGCAGGGGGTTGGACTGGATGGCCCATGAGGTCTCTTCCAACTCTTTGATTCTATGATTCTATGAATGTTGTAAGATGTCATTTACCAAAGCAGTCCTTTTGTCCATCTTATTTGGAGTAGGGAATCATTTAGCTCCCCAGAGCTGATGGACTGCAACTCTCAGCATTGTGTACTGCCAAGTCACATGATTCCCATCCCAGACCAAACTCAAAGCTTTTGGTCTTCAGACGAAGATCAGGTTGATGATGCAACCATTTATAATTTCTGGTAACAAAAAGACCAACCACCACATTTCATAAATATTAGATAACTAGCTTGGGGACCCGGCGATGCCCAGGTTACTTGAGAAAGACCTCACAGACTCTGAGGATGCTTGCCATAGATTCAGGTGAAACGTCAGGAGAGAATGCTTCTAGAACATGGCCATACAGCCTGAAAAAAACCTACAACAACCCAGTGATTCCAGACATGAAAGCCTTCGACAATACATTGAGAAAGGCATTGTTTGTTTTGAGAAGTCTGGTAATATCTCTGGATGCAGGGTGAACAGCAATTCCCACACAGGTGGGTCATTGCCTCCCAAACCCCTCCAGTATATTATGTTGGCACGGATTATTTGAAAAAGGCACCATTTTTTGGGGGGTGTTAGGTAATATCAGTTTTAGGTCCCAAACACCTGAAGAGCTCAAGTCTGCCCATCCCTGATCTATACTGTAGAATTAATCCAGTTTGATACCACTTTAACTGTCATGGTGAAATGCTATGGAAGCTTTGGAATTGTAGTTTTACAAGGCCTTTAGCCTTCTCTGTCAGAGTACTGGAGTTCTCATGGTGGTACTGAGGAAGGAATAGTACTGGAGCCTCACTGAACTCCAAGAATTGCCTTGCATTCCAGCCATGGCAATTGAAGTGCTATGTCCTACTATTCCTATGAGAACTCATGGGAAACAGCCATTTCGTAAGGTGGTTAATTTTGACAATTACATTGTTTTTAAAAAGTCAGTTTGCCACCATGAAAAAGTTTATGGAAATGTTTCAGAATGGTTCTTCGCTTTGGTTCAACTGTTACCATACTTTTGAACAGTAAAAATACTTCAACCATGAGTAACAAATAAAAGGCAAAGTTAATACTGTTGCCACTGCAGAATTCAAAACAATGAATTTCCAACTTGTGGATAAGTTTACCAAATCACAGACAACAAATACATTTCCAGCAGTGATTTGTTCCTGTGTATTTTTGCATGCAAGAAAGAATTGCAGCGGCATATTGTCGAAACCCCATCATATCCAATGTGGCTAGAATAAACCATATTTGAAAGATTATGGCATAATATCACCGTGCAGAGCTCTCGGTGGGGCAATGGGTTAAACCCTTGTGCCGGCAGGACTGCTGACCGACAGGCCGTCGGTTCGAATCTGGGGAGCGGGGTGAGCTCCTATCTGTCAGCTCTAGCTTCTCTTGCGGGGACATGAGAGAAGCTTCCCACAGGATGGTAAAACATCCAGGCGTTATCTGGGCAACATCCTTGCAGACACCCGATTCTCTCATGCCAGAAGCGACTTGCAGTTTCTCAAGTTGCTTCTGGCATGATGATGATGATTATGATTATAATAATAATAATATTGCAATTATTTCATCTGCATACCTTTTAAACTCCAGTGGTATCCAACTGCATGACTTTGATCATGTAGATCAGGCATGGGCAAACTTCAGCCCTCCAGGTGTTTTGGACTTCAACTCCCACTGGCTGTTAGGAATTGTGGGAGCTGAAGTCCAAAACACTGTTGACTTGCTCTCCAAACCTTCTGCCTTGTGTGCCACATAATGCACCAGCCTTTCTACCATTTAAGACGCTCTTGAACCTCATTCCAGGTTTAAATACAGCCAGATGTTTATATTTGGAGATCATAGAATCACAGAGTTGAAAGAGACCCCGAGGGCCATACTGTCTAACCCCTTTCTTCCAGGCAGGAATTGCCCCATTCAAGCCCTCCTGACAGATGGCCATCCAGTCTCTGTTTAAAACTCCTGAGGAGACTCCACTATTCTCCTATTCCGCTGTTGAACAGTTCTTATCACTAAGACATTATTCATAATGTTTAAGTGAACTCCCATTTCCTGCACTTGAACTCATTGCTCTGTGTCTAAGGGTCTTTCCACACAGCCCTATATCCCAGAATATCAAGGCAGAAAATCCCACAATATCTGCTTTGAAGTGAGTTATCTGAGTCCACACAGCCATATATTCCAGTTCAAAGCAGACAATTTGGGATTTTATTCAGCTGTGTGGAAGGGGCCCTAGTCTCCAGAGCAGCAGAAAGCAAATTTGCTCAATTCTCATTGTGACATCCCTTCAAATATGTAAACATGGGTCTTATGTCCCTTCTTGTCCTTTTCTTCTCCAAGCTAAACATACCCAGCTCCCTAAGCTGCTTCTCTTAGAGCTTCATGGTTCCCATCAGACCTTTGACTGGTTTGGACACGTTCTAGCTTGTTCATAACCTTGAATTGTGCCCAGAACTGGACATAGCATTCAATGAAATATGGATTACAGGATGGACATCCCTACCACCCACTACCCACACCAGATCTTGCATTTTCAGCAGTTGGAGACACCTGTGACACAGCTATCCATACCCAGCTCACTAAGCCACTTATCATAGAGCTTTGTGGTTTCCACCAGACCTTTGACTGGTTTGGGCATGTTCCGGCTTGTCCATAACCTTCTTGAATTGTGCCCAGAACTGGACATAGCATTCCATGAAATATGGATTATAGGATGAACATCCCTACCACCCACTACCCACACCAGATATTGCATTTTCAGCAATTGGAGACATTTGTGACACAGCCATCCATACCCAGCTCACTTAGCCACTTCTCATAGAGCTTTGTGGTTTCCACCAGACCTTTGACTGGTTTGGGCATGTTCTAGCTTATCCATAACCTCCTTGAATTGTGCCCAGGATGGGACATAGCATTCCATGAAATATGGATTACAGGATGAACATCCCTACCACCCACTACTCACACCGGATATTGCATTTTCAGCAACTGGAGACACCTGTGACACCGTCATCCATACCCAGCTCCCTAAGCTGCTTCTCATAGAGCTTCATGGTTTCCACCAGACCTTTGATTGGTTTGGGCATGTTCTAACTTGTCCATAACTTTGAATTGTGCCCAGAATTGTACCTAGCATTCCATGAAATATGGATTACAGGATGAACATCCCTACCACCCACTACTCACACCAGATCTTGCATTTTCAGCAACTGGAGACACCTACGACACTGCCATCCATATCCAGCTAGTTAAGTCACTTCTCATAGAGCTTTGTGGTTTCCACCAGACCTTTGACTGGTTTGGGCATGTTCTAGCTTGTCCACAACTTTGAATTGTGCCCAGAATTGTACATAGCATTCCATGAAATATGGATTACAGGATGAACATCCCTACCACCCACAACCCACACTAGATCTTGCATTTTCAGCAACTGGAGACACCTGCGACACCGCCATCCAAAACTGCATCCCTTTCCCCAGTCCCTTCCTTCGTACATCATTGTGCCAAGGTGCAAGCGGATTCAGAGAGCTGGCACTGAGTCTTACCTGAGCACAGACGGGAGGGGGGTTTCTAAGCCCAGCGCTTGGCCCAAACCCTGGTTATAAACCCCCCTTGCCCCCTGCCCCCTCCCACTGGGCAGCCTCATATGGACACATAAAACCATTCCTCCCCCCTTCCATGCACAAGCTTCGTGCTTGCCCCCTGGAACAATTGGAACCCGGCGTCATTGTTGTGGCATGAAGACTAAGAACAGGTTCAGGGAGAGGCGGGTGGAGAAGGGGGACATCAAAATATCTTGGAACAACAGGGTTGGGATTCCAGTGGAGGGGGGATTGGAGAGGGTCCCGAGGGAGGTAAGGGAGATATGCACATTTTATGCAACCCAAGAATCGCCAAGTGCGCCATTCCCTCGTCTAGTTCCTCTGATGTTCCTTCTCCTGGTTTCTTCCTCTTCTACCAAATTCAGTGGGGGGAAATATAGAATGTTCTATAAACTTGTGGAATTCACTAGGATTTGACTGTTGACATTTTTCTGCACGCTTAAAAGGTGCTTAAAGTATAATTGGGATGTGCCAAGAACCTCACATTGCACAGGGACTTAGGTGGATCTGCACTGTAGAACAAGCATGGGCAAACCCGGGCCTTCCAGGTGTTTTGGACTTCAACTCCCACAATTCCTAACAGCCTCAGGCCCCTTCCTTTTTCCCCTCAGCTGCAGCGATGGCATTCTACCTTTCTCTAACCACTAGACATGGATGTGATCTCATCTCCTGAAGAAAGCAGCATTTATACCAGGTATGGGCAAACCTGGGCCCTCCAAGTGTTTTGGACTTCAGCTCCCACAATTCCTAACAGCTCCACCGTGGCGGAGGGGAAAAAGGAAGGGGCCTGAAGCTGTTAGGAATTGTGGGAGCTGAAGTCCAAAACACCTGGAGAGCCCAGGTTTGCCCATGCCTGCTGTATAATGAATGCAGTGTGATCCCACTTTAACTGCTATGGCTCATTGCTATGGAATCCTGGGAGTTGTAGTTCGCAAGGTCTTCAGCCTTCTCCGGTGCAGAATTCCATACCATTGAGCCATGGTATGGTCAAATAGCATTCATCCACCAGTATAGATGGCCCCTCATAGAATCCTAGAGTTGGAAGAGATGTCGTGGGCCATCCAGTCCAACCCCATTCTGCCAAGAAACAGGAAAATCGCATTCCAAATACCCCTGATAGATGTTTTAAAGCCTCCAAAGAAGGAGCCTCCACCACACTCCAGGGAACAGAATTCCACTTCTGAATAGCTTTCTCTCACAGGAAGTTCTTCCTCGTGTTCAGGTGGTATCTCCTTTCTTTCCTGTAGTTTGAAACCATTGCTCCACATCCTAGTCTCCAGGATAGCAGAAAACAAGCTTGCTCCCCCCTCCCTATGACTGTTACTCACATCTTCATCCATGACCCTCATCTTACCTTCTCGCAACCTTCTCTTCTGCAGGCTAAATATGCCCGGCTCTTTCAGCCACTCCTCATAGGGCTTGTTCTCCACACTCTTGGTCCTTTTAGTCGCCCTCCTCTGGACACATTCCAGCTTGTCAACATCTGCCTTCAATTGCGTTGCACAGAACTGGTCACAGTGTGATTCCAAGTGTGGTCTGACCAAGGCAGAACAGAGGAGAAGCATGGCATCCCTGGATCTAGGCACTAGACTCCTATTGATGCAGGCCAAAATCCCATAGGCTTTTTTAGCTGTCGCATCACATTATTGGCTCATGTTTAACTTGTTCAGTTTCACTTTAGTTGTAAATTGCCTTGATTCTTCTCCAAATGAAGATGTGTCCAAGTGTACATTTCTAACAATTTGATGCCACTGTAACCACACAATGGTGGGATTTGTAGTATGGTATGGGCCTTGACATCCTCTGCTACAGAGATAATAGGTTGCATTTAAGGCTATATCTCTGTAGTAAATAATTCCAAGTTCCCCCATTTACAAACCTAGGATCCCATAGAATGGAACAGAGGTGGATACAGTGGTATCGGACCGTTAGACTTGTGCCTTATGAATAGATAACCAACCAGGAAAATCAGAAAATGGGATATAATAAGAGATAGTGATATCATTAAAGTAACTATATAAAAATTGGCATTCTTCCTGAATCTTAGCTTTTGCAAAGCAACATACAGAGACACACACAAATAAAGACAAAGATTGGAAAGTGTTGGAATCTATGGTAGTTCAGACGTATCTGACTGGAGTTTGGGAAGGACACGGTTTTGGAGGTTTCTGGGGACCCTTTCACGCTATACAATCATGTACCACTTTCATGCCCATTGCTGCATCCTGTGAAATCCTGGGTTTTATTGTCTAGTGTGGCATTTGAGTCCGCTGGCTAAATAATCCTTGTTGAGTGCCTTCCAGTTATTTCTGATTTATGGTGACCTTAAGGCAAACTTACTACAGGATTTTCTTGGCAGGGTTCGTTCCAAGGAAAAATGTGTCTTCGTGACTCATCCAAGGCCACTCAATAGGTTTTCGTGGCCGAGCACGGATTTGAACCCTGGTCTCCAGAACAGTAATCCAACACACTAACCACTACACCAGTGGTGTCAAACTTAATAGTCCTCCCAGTTTTTTGGACTTCAGCTCCCAGAATTCCTGGCCATTGGACAAGATGACTAGGGATTCTGTAAGTTGGAGGCCCAAACATCTGGAGGGCCACAACTCTGCACTACCACACTGACAATTTATCTGTTGGGAATGATTTAATACTGTCTTCCTGCAGAGCAAAATGGGGTTGGCCTGAATGATCCTTAGGGTCTCTTCCAGGGACTTCATCCCATTTCATCCCAAATGGAGTGAACTAAGATTCTATGGTTCAGTGCTACACATTTGGAAAATGTCGTGGAAAGAGGCACATTTGTGACACCTTCTATTAACACAGTGGTTCCTAAGCTGCGGTCTGTGGACCACCAGTGGTCCGCAAAAACTAAAATCTGCAGCCTCACCGTTACTACACCATTGTAACAAGAGTTACTAGTCTCATGAAACTCTCTTATAGTGTGAGGATTATTAAATATGCTTTTCTGTGGGCAAGCAGATGGCAACTACAGGATGGCATATGCCCTGTATCAGAGCTGATGTGGTCTATCCAATGCAATTGTCCGAATCAGCACCCCAAATCGAATCAAAAAGTGGTCCCTGGTCAAGTGGTCCTTGGTCAAAGTGGTCCCTGGCCAAGTCATCCCTGGCTAAAGTGATCCCAGCTCAAAGTGGTCCCTAGTCAAGTGGTCTTTGGTCAAAGTGGCCTCTGATCAAGTGGTCCCCAGTCAAAGTGGTCTCTGGTTAAGTAGTCCCTGGTCAAAGTGGTCCCTAGTCAAATGGTCCTTGGTCAAGTGGTCCCTGGCCAAGTCATCCCTGGTCAAAGTGGTCCCAGCTCAAAGTAGTCCCTGGTCAAGTGGTCTTTGGTCAAAGTGGTCCCTGGTCAAAATGGTCCCTGGTCAAATGGTTCTTGGTCAAAGTGGTCCCTGGCCAAGTCATCCATGGTCAAAGTGGTCCCAGCTCAAAGTGGTCCCTGGTCAAAGTGATCCCTGGTCAAGTGGTCCCAGCTCAAAGTGGTCGTTGGTCAAAGTGGTCCCTGGTCAAAGTGGTCCCTGGTCAAATGGTCCCTGGTCAGAGTAGTCCCTGGTCAAAATGGTCTTTGGTCAAAGTGGTCCTTGGTCAAAATGATCCTCAGTAAAGTGGTCCCTGGTCAAAGTGGTCCTTGGTCAAAATGGTCCCTGGTCAATAAAAGGTTAGGAACCACTGGATTAGCACCTCTTGTAGCTACATCTATGATGTCCATCCAACCTCTGCTTAAAAACCTCTAGAGAAGACTTCATCATACTCCAAGACGACATCGTCCATTGCAGAACAGTTCTTGCCATCACAGAGTTCTTCCTAATGTTAAGGTGTCTGTGACACCTTCCAATGTTGGAAGGTATCACAAAGGCAAGCTTCACCAATCTTTGCAACACCTTCGCAAGCTCACCTTTCGCTCCAAATCTCAGTTCTTTGCAGAACCTGGGCATTGTGTTTCAGCTCGTAAATGGGGACACCATGAACCTAGAGTACCCTGGTTCTTTTCTGCCAGGGCATGCTGGGTTAAGAGCAAAGCATGCCGGGCGGCAGGACTCCTGGCTTCTATTCCCGTCTTTTAGGGAGGACTCAACCGTCTGCGTGGCTATAATAAGGCGTCTTTGTGGAGCATCGCAGTTGCTATATAAGGCCCGGAGTCGGCTGTGAAGGTCAGGCCGGCCACCGCCGCAATGCCATTCTTTGCCTTTTGTTCTGAGCCAAGGGCTATTGTTTACGTCACTGCGAGATCGAGTGACAGAGTGATATGGGGGGGAGGCTAAGAGCTGACATTTGGGGTTGGGAATGCCATGGGGGGAACAAATTGTGTCATGGGAGGAAGAAGAAAAGGAAGGGGGGATTGCCGAAAGGAGGGAGGGAGACAAAGAAAGAACACGCCGTGTGCCGAGCGAGAGACAAAGGGCATCGCTGGCCTGGATGGAGTTAAGGGCCAGGAAGGTGGCAGTCCCTGGCGCGGTGCCCGGCTTGTCTTGGCACTCTGCCCTGCCCTGGATTACGGTTTGGCTCTGGCCTCCCCTTGCACCTGCTTCTTGATGCCGCTTTGTCTCTTGCCTGGGGAGACGTCCCCCACTCCTTTGGTTGCCCTTTGCTCCCGTGGGGCCATTGTCTGTCCAAAATGCATGGGGCAAATAGAGCTGTTTGTGCCCCAATCAAGGTGCCCCCCGCTTTCTCCACTCCATGCTCATCTGGCTTGACTCCCTCACCCATTCTCAACCAGTCTACTTCTTAGGGAGCTTGGAAAAAAGAAGGCTAAGATGGAACAATTCTCATATTGAAATAGTTGAAAGGAGGTCACATTGCAGAGGGGACACATGTATATTGTCGAAGGCTTTCATGACTGGAATCACTGGGTTGCTGTGAGTTTTCCAGGCTGTAAGGCCAAGATCCAGAAGCATTCTCTCCTGATGTTTTGCCCGCATCTATGGCAGGCATCCTCAGAGGTTGTGAGGTCTGTTGGAAACTAGGCAATTGAGGTTTATAT